AATGTCAGTGTTTGTGGTTGAATAACTCGTGCTTGTCGTTTGCAACATATAAACAATTTTTTCAATTTTGATTGAAGTTCAGGCATTGAACCAGCACATACAACTGGTAATAGAAGATTGCCATAGTATAAAAAAAATTCTAAATATGCCATAACATCTTCACCAATATCATCAGAAATAACAAGTTGAAGGAATTCCATAAACATATGTGGAATATATATAATAAGATATAGAAATGAAATTGATAATAATTGTATTGTCATTTTTCGATAGTTTCGCCAACGAGCTGGTTGACGCATTCGGCTTTTTTGATAAAGAATACGTAATAAAAGTCCAAGACTACAAGAAATAATAATGATTATAGGAATGAGATGATCAAATGTAACATCCCATATTGCTAATGCTTGTTGGTCATAATAACAAAGTGGATAGCCACAAACAAGCTGTGTATAGTCAAACACATTTTGACATGGCGGGAATATAATCACAATTAAACTATAACAAAAACAGTAGAGAAGAACTAAAACTATAGGAAGATAATGAAAAATTAGAATTCGTCTTCTCGTTGCTATGAGTCGATCATGAAAAATAAGAATATGTCTTTCGATAGTTGCCCAAGCAAAAAGAGTTGTGATTGTAATAGTTAAGCCTTCATCAACTAATATCCAAACTATACAGAAAGATGGTGATTGTGGTGAAACATGTCCTAAACGATAATAATTCATAATCCATGGAATACTTGTTAATTGTACAATGAAATTAACAATAAGAAGTAGAGTAATAACATGATTGTGTAGAGCTTGACGTAATGTTCGACTAGCAATGAAATAATACAAAACAAATAGAGAGCAGATGAGAGATGGAATGTAAAATATAAGAATAATCCAAAATCGAACTATACGTGGAATAGCGATTTCATACGATGTTGATGAGTTATTCTTGAAAAAATCGCTATCTTCACCAGACATTCTTTATATTAATACAACAGTATAAAGTAAATATAATTAAAATACTAAAAAAGAGTACGTGCTTAACTTTTGTGAAGATATTCCATATTGTGTTCATCCTTTTCCTTCTTACGGGTATGATCACAAGACTTTCTGTGCGAGAATACCATGACTGGATTGTCATTATGATTATTGGAGAAGTAGATTTTTTATAAAAAAATTTCTAAATATATACTCGTTGTTAATGCGGAAGAGTCTTTCATCATGAAGGAAAATTAACTTATGATGTAGATAAAACATTGTGTACCATTCAATATTATTCTTTTTAAAGAACAATCAATTATTAACTTAACAGAGAAAGTATATATATAAATATATATATTTCGGTACAATTTGCGTGCAAAAATTAATTAATTAAATTATAACCTTGAATGAAGTATAAACAGATCGAAATTTTGCAAAATTGTTTTGGAAAAAAATATTTTGACATACTTTGTATAAGAAAGTTATGGACGAATGATAACAAATGTACTTGACATTTTCCTATAATTATATCAATACAAAATACAAAGTCATAGTTTTTTTCCACTATAAAAATAGGATAGATTTCCAAAGACATCCTGTTGTATCAATGATTATAATCATAATCAGGAAAAATTGTTTTCATGTATGACTATCTAATATAGACGTCAAATAAACATGTAACTCCGTGGTAATTCATGATAATAGATTTTTAAACGAGACGGTTAATATTGAAAAAGAATAAATTATCTGTCAAACTTGTTATTTTTATCATAGTATGTTTGATGAATATTCATTCTACCAGTAATAAAATAATGTGATATATTATCTTATACGTCTTTAAGTATCAAACTATTGATATAAAAATTTTTTTACTTCTTTCTCTTGTAAATAAAAACAAAATTTCTTCATCGATGAGTTCAACTTGTATTATTTACTTTAAAAAAAAAACGAGGCGTAATCAAATTTTTACGGTTATAGTTCATTTTGACATTAATTTCATTGGATTTAAACAGTGATGTATACACGAACTGGCTTATTATTCTATCATGTCTTTCATAAGAAAAAGTATCACGAGATTCTATTACAATTAATTCTATAGAAATTGTATTATAAAAGATTTTTTTATCTTATTCATGCGTAAAATGTATTTATTCAGTCGTATCTCTTTTTTTTATATAAAATGACAAGTAAACGACGACATTCTTATCATATCTTTCAAAACTGTTTGACAACACTCTCAACATAGTTCTATGACTCTCACTCTAATACAAGCTCATGGTATGGTTATGATTCTTGCATGGATGGTATTTGCTTCAACAGGTATTTTATTTGCACGTTATGGACGTTCATTAAAGTTAGGATCTCGTCGACAATTACTTGGTAAAGCTGTTTGGTTTCAAATACATAGATTTCTTCTTTCTCTAACACCAATATTAACACTTCTTGGCTTTCTTTTAATATTAGTTCATGCTGGTGGTCAATGGATCAATCCT